CAGCATGGCGGAAGAAACCCACAACAAACAGAAAAGAGTCTGAGCGGAAGGAGTAGCACAGCTACAGCGAAAGCTAGAAAAGCGGCCTTTCAGAGCCTTTTCAAAACACTCATTGGGTAACTACTGCTAGCACACTTGCTTGGTACTCACTAGGGCATTAATAATAAATTTTAGGGTAGTAAGCCGGCATTCACTATGCTATTTGTCGTGATTCTTCTGAGAACCGTGGAATCGGCTAAACACTTGCAAGGAATTTAGTGCCAATTGGTCATGCAGAGGCTGAAGACGATGAGGAATTACGCCTATATAAAGTGGGTATGCGCCACAGTTAATAGGTGAACAAGAGCAAGCTTTTGTAATGGGTTGGAAAATTGGACGGTCCACTCCTTACGCTATTCGCATTGTGCGACAACTGGTTGTTCTTTCGCTCTTTTAGAACGCTTTATAAGTCGTATTAACGCGATTGCTTTCCCGGCATCATGCCAGCCCAAGGTAAGTTTCGACCTCCTCTATAAATTTGCGACCTGCTCATGCCACGCCACTCCCCGTGTCACCATATTTGCTTTTGCTTGTTTATTATTTAGTTCTCTGAAGTGCCACAACACTAGTAACAGCACGCCAAAGCGCTACAACTTACCCCCTTCGCTGCAGCCGTCAAACCGCTTTTCTATATGTGCATGCGCGCGTTTGCTCGTTTATTATTATTATTATTATTATTATTATTATTATTATTATTATTATTATCATCATCATCATCATCATCATCAAGGCACTCGCGCCGAGATTAAAATCCGGTAGTGGAGATCCTGGAGCCAGCTACCGTGGTGCTTCTGACAGCTAGAATGTTAGCTTCGGGACACGTAATCTGTGAATTCCTCGATCCACGCGTTAGAAACGGGAAAAAACAATGAGAGGAACGCGCACGAACAAGTGCACCACGACTTAGAAGTGTGGCAGCTAGGGCTAGTTGGTGTGACATGACGATAGTTATAGCGCGAGAACAGACCGACGACACAGAGACACAGCGCATGTCCTTCGTGTCCTTGTCGCTGTGTCGTCGTTCTGTTCTCGCGCTATAACTATCGTCATGCACCACGACGTTGGTGCGTCGCCTGCTATGGGGGTAAGTCGTGGCGGCACCTGGCAGCATCTCTGGCCCCTACGCGCCAATTTTTAGACCCAAACGCCTCCACAGGGGTTGCGCCGATGGGCAGGTCGTAAGGTTATAGAGGAGGTCGTGGTTTGCCACCAAGTCCCAAGCACCGATGTGGCTCTCCCTCCTAGGTACTGAGGGAGAGCCACATCGGTGCTCTGGACTTGGTGGCAAACCATGACCTCCTTTAATAAAGAAAAAAAAAGCACCGATGTGGTTCAGTGGTAGGATACTGGGCTCGCACCCAGTAGATCCAAGTCATGTGACGTCATTACAACGTTAATGAGACAAATAATCTGATGCTTTCATGAAGTCAAGTGGGGACGTCGTAACCCGCATCGTGGTCTGGTAGTATGTAGGCTCATCACAGGCGCAGTACGAAAGCCGGTGAAATCTATAAAGGTTGCAATACCTCCTTTTGTAAGAAAATAAGCGCAGCTTTCACTCCCGCAAACACTCATGAAGTCACTCGCTCATCCACCTGAGAAACACACACGACACTTTCTCGGACGGATTGGCGAGTGATTGCGTGAGTGTTTGTGAGAGTCAAAGGTGCACTTAGTTTCTTACAAAATCACGAATATCCAACTGGCTCAACAACAAGTTTTATTGTTTCAATAACTCCGATCGCGGAAGCAGTGCAAAACTAGGCTACGTGTAGGAGGATTTTAGAGCAAGGCGAATGGAGATCGCTACTGAGAAGAAGAGCAGGTGGCTTTCACCTTCGAAACTTCGACGAATTCATAAAATATCGCGTGCGCCTTTGTGGACAGGGCGAACCCATATACCTTATTTACACTAATTTGACCACCAGCGAACACTCGGGAATTTTCTTATGGTGGCGAAGAATGAAAGCACAAAAAGCCTTAAAACGAAACGCCCCAAGAATTTCAGTGCTATTATTGTCGCTGTGGGGTTGTGTGCGGCGTCTTTTTGCTATCCTGTTGGAATATTTCGAAGAAAATTGTATTTCGAACGCACCACGAAAAAATAAAATTTATGATAGGTACGTTTTCAGCGCATTTTCTTATTGCCCCCCCCCCCTACATGGTTCACGCTGAAGGAGCATGCAGTAATGAGTGCGATGCATGATAACAAGTATTCTGGAGACACCCATATTCATTTACGACTTACCTGTAGCAAAGAATTACCTTCCTTGTACAGCCACTATCTGCGCCAACTTTGTAGAAAAAAACATCAAAACCAAGTGGTATGCTGCAGCTGAACAATGCGATACTAATCCTGTTCGTAAATGAAATGCATTCGAAGTTCACCCAAACTGGTTTTAACGTTTTCCATACCATGCGTTTTGTCCTCAATCCAGGTATCCGGTATCATTCGCAGCTAACTTGACTTTGCGACCAGAGCGAATTCGCTTGCTCACCCGGCTAGCTGGTCAAGTCTCCCTTTGCTTCTCCATAATGTTCTTAGCAAAAGCGGTAGATTTATAATCTGCAGGTTACTGCTCGTAGTAATTAAGCCACATCCAAGCCTATGCACACCGAGCAATCTACGTGACGTCATGCCAGTGAGCTTAATTGCGTCACTTAATCTGCGCAGACATGCCCGCACAACATGAATGACTAATTGCAAAAGTGTTTTGGGAGTTTTCACAGATGTTAATACAGAATAAATAGCGACACCATGAATCGGGCTACTAGGTTCACCAAGTAGTAATTCTATTCGTACAAAACAGTTCATGCTAGCTTTAGGCGATGTTTTCTGCAAGGAAATAATCAATGCTCAGAAGCACTTCACCTCACTAAGTCAATGCTAATTATAAAGGTGCATAAATGTCGTATATGTGGTCACCAAAGGCAACCATAACTAACGCTTTAAACTTCAAGTTACGACGAAAGCTGTTTTTTTTTTTTCATTCCAGTGTCACGGCTACCACGATACGTAGTTTCGTATTCTCGTGCATATCGCACGAGAACATTTTACTCAGCGATTTATGTTACGCATATTTTTTTTAACTTACTCTTTCAAGAAACAAGCCGCGTAGCAGAGAGAGATTGAAAGCATTTCAAACATCCACAAGCAGGTTTTGAAAACTTTTATTATATTCTGAAGTTGACGCGTGCAGAAAATAAAAAGGTACACTTATTGCGGGCTCCCGCCATGGAGGACAGAGGTTACATTTTTTTCAACTAGAGCACATTTATCATGCACGGAAGAATGTGTGCATGTGCGGGCTAGGACTGGAGTTTGGGTCATATCTCCAAGCATACACATCGACGATTTAATTAAACTCGTGGCACTCAGCAGCACAATGTGATGACCATTATTCTACCATGGCATGGTAGCAAGTAAATACGGTTGGTTCTGTTGTTTCATTCACCATCGAAGAAAGTGGGACGAGCACGTCAAGGCAGGAAGTTTAGCCAGGCGTACATCCAGTCTGTTACCCTGAATAGGGGGAGGGCGGGGGGAAGGATGTTAAGGCGGAGAGAAACCAGCACCAATCGGTGGCGCATTCCAATTGTACCGGTGGTCGCCGAGGCCTTCTGGCGCTAATCACCAGCAACACCTTCGCTTTCACCTGATCCATCGATGCGTGTACCGATGGTCCAAGAATTTCGGGCTCCTCAGTACGGGAGGAGCAAGTCCTCTCTTTTGGAAGAATCTGGTGCGGGTATCACAGAGTGACACGACGAGAACTACTGGGCAAGACGTGCAGAATAGCCTCTTCGGATCTGCATGAAGTCGCAGGAACAGCCATCAGCCCACGGAGGAAGGAAAGGTAAGAGAGGCCCTGACGTTACTCGTTGTGAAGCCGCGATGAAGCCGGAAGTCAGCCATATTCATTGTGCGAATTCTCCTCTCTTGTTTACATCCGAGTGTAAAGCAAAAGGCACGACTCTCTCTCTGGCTCTGAAAGCACGTGAGCTGCGCAGCGCGCGTGTCGTGACAATCCGAAACTAATGGAACGGGGCTCAACACCTGGGCCAGCGCGACACCTTCGGCGAAATCATTTCGTCCAAGTATTAACAGCGAGTAACAGCTCACCAACAACGAAGCAAGTACAAGAGAACGCACGCTAGATGCACTGACAACGGCGAGTGTTTTCACGTCAATAATTCAGCAACTGTATAGACAACACGATCGGTCGTGCGCCTTCTACGGTTGCATTCCGCCTCAGTGGCCGACACAGCGTCCGACCACTGTGTCCGTGTTCCGCGTGAAACTCACCGGCGTCAGCATTCTGCGACCGTGGTGACATTGAGCACGGTGCAAGTGACACTTGAACGCGGTCGCTGTTATGTTGAGATTACAAGCAATGCTGAAGGAGAGTATACGAAGTGGAACAGAAAAGGTGTTTTAATACGCACATGCAAGTTGTTACTGTACACACAGAACACGAAACTACGTATGTGCACATGGTCCTCATTGCGTCTTGCTGGGCTCAGCAGCGTCGTCCGTTGTCACAAGCAGGAGCACTGCCCAACCGTCACTGACCTGCAAGGCGTTCGTCGTCGTTCCGCTTCGTCATGGTGCTCAACGCAATTTCGCTGAACACTATACTTGCTTCATCCACGTCATCCACCGCACGACACATGGATATGCACTCGTTCTACATACTGTTGAAACTCCATGATGGACAAAAGGATTTGTAAACGTTGCTAAGAGTACAGTAACTGCCAGGAGAACACTGCGTAACCAATAACGTGGCGCAGAGCACGGATATTGTCCGCCACGGCTCAGCACGAGACCTGGGGAGGCACACATGCTGGCGCCAGCCGCGGCCGCTCATTGCTAGACCAGCTTCACTTTGCAACACGTAACCATAGCAACGCCGCCATTGTGCCCAGTGAATATGGCCGCCATGATGTCATCTCCTCCACACTTTTCACGTAGCGCACCGGCTGGGCATGCCCTCTCCTACCTTTCCTTCCTGCGTGCATCAGCCGCAGCAAAGCCTATCGAGAATGCCTCTACAGCAAGCATAGTGGTTCGTGTCGAGGTTGTATCATCCAATCATCATTAGCAGCAGCAGCAGCAGCCTGACAACGCCCACTGCAGGGAAAAGGCTTCTCCCATGACTCGCCAATCAATCCTGTTTTTTGCATTCTGATTCCACGTAACCATTTTGTCTTTTTTTTACCATGCAGTAATATTTATGTGCAAGGCCCACTCAATTTTTCGCCTCCACTGAAAATGCGACCACCACGGCCCGTAGCAGACACACGCCGAGCACCGTAACACCATTACAACTAGCGGCAGCTATAAGATATCGAGAGTAAGCGGGTATTTTAGCGCTCTAGGACAGGTCTGAATGGGGTTAGATCGAGCTCATTTGTGTTTGTCAGAATTCTATTTATTAGTATGAAGAGTACCATGTCGACAAGGGTTGAATTGTCAAAAAAAAAAAAACGTGGTGGCGCGCTGGTAACATGTGCAATGGAAATATCCGCCATAGGCTCATAGAGACGTCCTCAATCTTCTGTCTCGGATGATTTCTTTGAAGCGCTTGCGTCAGGCTTAGCCGCTTCGTGCCGTGCTTTAATGTGCTGCCTTAGATTGTGCCTATACTTGTACACACGCCCACAGTGTTGGCAACGGAAACATTTTGTCTCCGTATGAGCAAGCTTATGCAAATTCAGGTTGCTCTCTTCAAAAAAACTACGTCCGCAAACTTCACATTTATGACCCGCCTCCTTTTTGTGCACATTAAATTGGTGCCTACGGAGGTTGTATTCCCGAAGAAATGAACGCCCGCACGCATCACACCGATATTTTTTCTCAACGGTGTGCATTCGGCAATGATTTTGATACTGGGAAGGACCTCGAATCCACAAATCGCATTCGGAACAAAGATGTCTTCCATTTGCAATGTTTTTGTTGGTGTGTTCATTAAAGTCCTCTTCACACGTGAAAGTCTCCAGGCAAAAGTGACACTCCCAGCGCACATCGTGGCTTTGTCTTCGTTGCTGCTCACATTGATGAGTCCTTGGTGTTTCCATGAGAGCTGAGGGAGAGCCAAGAAAAAGGGGTGGATGTTTAAAGCTTGTGAACTTAAGTCACTACGAGCGAAAAGTATATATGTCTGATTTGAATGTGATAGTGATTCCTTAAAGTACCCATGACAGCGAAAGCTTTCTTTGCGAGCTTTTCACAGTAATTTGTAGCTTTGCGTCTGCCAATGCCGAAATTGCATCGTAAATGCTCTAACGCATCAATTACTTATTCCTAGCGGAATTCATTCAGGACAACTTTGCGCGACCTTGAAACACCCGCCTAATTACCATAAGAAACTAGCGCCTTCGTAGAGCAGTGCCTGAGTCTACTTGCGTTCAAACTTCAGTGACGCTGAAACACGTTTTCAAATAGGGGACCCCGCGGATGGTGAAAAATTAAATCATGTGGGGGCTTTGAGCTGTCCCACTGGATGGATGGATTGGATGGATTGATTCATATGGCTGTACCTTTTATCGGACGATTGATATATCGTCACCTAGCCGCAAGCCTTAGTGAATAAGACCTAGATTTATCTCTTTTCTTGCTTTAAATGGTGAAGTTGGGAACTTCTACTTTGCAGTGAAAGATTTAATTTTCACTCGTGCCTTGATTGTAGCCACCAATCAGATAATTTTCTTCTAGTTATTTCAACCCGCTTAAAGTCTATTTTGCCCTCCCTGTCACTAAACCCCAGTGCTTTAAAAAACTGGGCGCCATGATCCTGAGCTATAGGGTGAAGCTTTTCACAAAACATTATCAAGTGTTCAGCAGTTTCTTCTTCCTCTCCACACGCACTGCATACCGTGTCTACCCCTTCGCTATTCCGCCCGATATGTCTTGGTTCGCAATACTCCCGTCCTGGCCTCAAACAGTAGAGAACTACCCCGAGAACTATCAATGGTCCTTTTCTTGGCAATTTCCTGCTTATAAGTTGGACAGATCTCTATTGCCGACTTATTAATCATGCCTATTGACCACATGTTGGTCTCCGTGTACATTACCTTCTTCTTAACCGATAGTTATTCTTGGTCTGGCCCTCTGCTCTTTTCTAAGTATTTACCCGTCAATTTTCTGGTTCACTTCCTCCATTTTGTATCGACATTCGTCATGTACAAGTAGCTCAAAACCTTCCCAGCCGAACGCTCCTCCCCAGTTTCTCTCAATCGCTTCACAAATTTTATCACGCTGCTAGTTCGCTGCCCTCAAATGATGGTCATCCCATATCACCTATACACTCTTAGAAAAAAGGTGGTAGTACTTGCTAACTTTGGGGTCGTAATGGTTTTGTCACATATGTCACAACCCTGGTAGTAAGCGCAGTTAGTAACGGCGAGGGTGGTAACAGTCACTACCTCTGCGGTTACTACCAGCAGTTAGTAACCTGTTACTACCCTAGCCGTCACCACCCATTGGTAGTAACGTTTAAAGGTTTCAAGAAAAAAAGTAGTAACCTATACTACGTAGTTCATTCATTTTGGCATATTATTTCTCCTCTGCTAATGTTGGCTAATCAATGTCTTACAACTAGACAAATTCGCGTAAGAAGTAGGGTGTACCATGAATGCGCAGAAAGCATAGACCGAAAAAGTTCACAATTTTTACGTATACATGTAGCAAGAAGTAAGCGTGGGGTATATATAGCCCCTACTTAACAGGGGCATGTCTGGCAGAGGAGAGCACTTGCGTTTTAGGATGAATTTTAACAAATAAAAACCTATAGCACTATAATATACTACTTGGTTACATGTGTTTATTGACGAAGCACAAGACTTTTAAGCAGCCTTGCTTATAAAAATCCTATCTCATATTTATTCATTATAATATGGCCACAAAAAGGCATTATGTACAGTGGCCGGAGCAATGTACCGAACTCATTCTCGGTGCACTTGAATGCTTTACACGACTAATGTATCTGCTTTTAAAAGGTAATAATCGTCTAGGGTGTTTGACGCGCCAAAACAATAACAATATTTCGAGACACGCCGCAGTGGATAAATTATGACTGTTCTCGAGGCTAATTGTGACCGCCTGGTTATTTTGATCTGCTGGTCTTGTTAATATGGGCTGTAATTCACTAAGTTTGTTGTGATTGTCTATTACAACACGTGTAGCTCTTGCTTATGGTTCGTTAACTTGTACTTCTTCGTTTCGACAATATCGAATGACGTTTACATATCTCGGTGGCGTAATTTAAAACAAAATGTATTTTCTTGATCTATGGATACCTTATGCGTCATTTTTCTGTGTAACGATTATACGTCGAGACGATCCCTCTCATATATTACCAGAATCACATTCACACACTATATTGGAATAGATAGTCAAAAGCCAGGGAGCGAAAGAGGTAGTAACAGGGCAAGAAAGTTAGTAACGGCGGCAGTTACTACCTCTTTCATTTCAGTTACTGTTTACCAACGTAAGTAGTAAAGAGGTCGCAAAAAGTTAGCAATGGTTGCATGTAGTAACTGTTTACTAACGTAGGTAGTCAACAGATAGCAAAAGGGTAGTAACGATTAAAGAAAGGTAGTAACCGCTGCAGTTGCTACTTATTAGCCTGCAGTTTCTACCTTTTCACTAACTTTTTTTAAGAGTGTACTCCCTGATTTGGTGTATTACCGTGAGCTCCTAAAGCAAGCCTACCTATTCCACGTTGCTTAATGTCTAACCTTACTTGAACCTCTGATCTCACGCACAAGACTGCATTGCCGAAAGTCAGACCAGAAACCATGACCCCTTTCCATATTCCTTTCACCGCATCATACCTATTGCAATTCCACAGTGCCCTATATTTCATCACCACTGCATTCCTGGTACCTTTAATCATTACGTGTATTTCGTGTTCCCTTAGGTACTCAGTCCCTTTGCTTATCCATACGTCCAGATATTTGTATTTACCTGTTCTCTCTAGCATGACCTCCTGTGTCCTAAGCTCACTACCTTCATTATTTAAAAAAAAATCATGACTGCTGATTTTTCTGTACTGAATCTCAAATCTAACATATATCCCTCATTACCACAGATGTATATCAATCTCTGCAAATCTTCCTTGTCCACCATCAGCTCTATATCATCTGCGTACATCAATGCTGGTAGTGCCTGTTCAATGAGTTTTCCCTGTTTGACGAAAGACAGGCTGAATCCAAGTCCACACCCCTCTAATTTGGCCTCTAATACTAGTAGGTACATCTTGAATAACAAGGGTGACAGACGATACCCCTGCCTAAGCCCCCATTTTATCTATGCTGAGCTTGGATACCCGCTTTTCTCATTTTATAACTGTCTTCTCACTTTTATAGATATTCTTTGAAATACTAATGACCCCATCTTGCACACATAGTGTATTCAGTTTTTCCCACAGGTCCTTTCGAACCATGCTCTCGTAAGCTCCCATCATATATCCAAAAATGCCAGCCGCAGGGGCCTGTGTTCCTTTTCTGCTATTTCGATGCACTTCGTCAGTAAGAACAGATTGTCTTCCAACCTCCTTTGTTTCCGAAACCTTTTCTGCAGTTCCCCCAGCACCCCCTCATCCTTTATTCATGCCTGCAGTCGTTTCTTTATAATCTTCGTCACCAGCCTGTACACCACTGATGTCACTGTTATAGGCCGGTAGTTGTTTGTGTCAGCTTTGTCCCCCTTTATAGATCATGCTCATCCTGCTAAGTTTCCCTTCATCAGGGACTTCACCAACAATTATTGCTTTCCTCGCTGCCTCTCTGAAAGTCTGCTTAGACTTGGGTAGTAATTCCTTCATCAGCATAATTGGGGTGCCGTCAGGGCTTGTTAACGTACTACTAGGAACCCTCCTCTCAGCCCTTTCCCACTCTCGTCATAAAAATGTAGCCACTGCGCCACTTGATCCATCCTTGTCTATTAAGGTGCATAAGACACTTCCTTGTTGATTTTTTTCTGTCATCAATGTTCTTATATATTCAATCGCTTCGTCCCCTTCGAGTATAACACCTTGAGTTGTAGTTATAAACCTCTTCTCTAGACTTGTCCCATTATTAGGTAATTTTAGATGGTTCCAAAATTCTGTAGCTGCCTTTCTGTCCTTTTTATGTACTTCTGCCCGCCACTGAGCCCAATTTCTTCCAATGTTTTATCGATCAGATGCGATGCTTCTCTTCTACAGTGTAGAAATATGTCCCATTTTGTTTCAGCATCATCCGTCTGTTTACCCCGCTGCTTAGCATGTCTGTGTACCCTACCATGTCCGTGTTGCCTCCTCGCTGCCTAGAGGCTTCCTGGCGTTTTGATATGGCTCTCTTAACTTCCTCGGCCCACCAACTCTTGGGTCTGTGTCTACTTTTTCGGGGTGACTTGTCACGTGCCCTAGTAAGCTCTACCTCAAACAGTCTAGCCCTCAAACAACAGAAAAGCATTCCTAACGTAAGCAGTTGAAACCACCTGGAGAGCAGCCTTGAGAGCGACAACAGAGTTAGAGGCGTGATGAACAATAGTCCCCGTCTGGTGCCGGTCGGGATATTGTGCGCACCCCGCAATCGTTCTTAGCCTCCGCAACGTCACAAGGGCATCCTCGGTTTACGTGAAGCCACAGCAAATGTCAACTGTGCCTGAATGCTCGGAGGAACACGCACCCTTACTTTAAAACCAAATATAAAATATCGTCTTTGCAATGGTTGCCACTAATAATCGGCAACAGGTGGCCCCGCATACAAAGATATCAAACAACACAAACATCCTGGGTTCCCAAATTCGGTGTTAGCGATCCTTAAAAGTCAAGGCCTTACTGCAAATGTTCTTGTAAACATATCCAGAGGTGTATTTGTCCATGAGTCACTGACAATACGCGCATTTGATGGTTACACCCAGCTACACCCATTTTTTAGCTACACCCTGTTCATAGGCTCGCCTGTATACCCTTCACCAAGATCTCCTCCTGGCAGAGTGAGCAGGAGGATTAGGAGAGTGGCACACCTTCTACCACACTAAGAAGGTCTTGTTTGTTCGCTAAACAGGATCTCTTGCTTGTCACACCACCGACAGAGGCACGGGATGTCACCGGGGCTGCTGGAGACGGTAGTATAAGGTAAGAAGAGTAGCATGTGCGTTTTTTCACGCTTTAAAGCACCTTGGTACATTACATCGGACTTGACAGCTGCAGACATCACGTAGTGAAAAACATGAGACGCCGCGTAGTAACTGTACCACTTTCGCCCTGGTATGTCTCATGGCCATTGCGACGTGATAGATGGCCTTGGGAGACAGGTGGTATTATAGTGTTCGCTATAACAACTTAGGGACGATAGTGTGTCACGTAAATTGGTCAAAGTTCAAATTGTGGTCATAGAGCGCAGGGATGCGGCTTAATAATATAGTGTGCGTGTATAAGCTGGCCGTAGACACTCCTGAAGTCATCTCGAACTCACTTTCTCAAAACAGGTACCCTTATTAAAATTACGGCAAGCATGACGGTTACCAAGGCTCGCGGATATACGTAATGATAAGGTAGGTAGGAATGATCTAAAAAGCCCGAAAAAAGCAAACACTAATAAATCATCAAGAACACGAAAAAAAGTTTTCGGAGGTGTGTGCAGGTGTCTCATCAAAAGGACATGAAGAATAGTCACTATCAATTGCGATATAAATAAAAAATTCATAGAAGTGTCTTATGCATCCTCAATACACCTGTGCAGATCTAGGCAGTAGTGCTTCTTACAGTCTTTTCTTGAAACTGTGCAATGTTCAAAGCAAAATGACGGAAGGTAGGAACGATGACTAACACCTAAATAAAAAAAATTGATGTTTTACTGGCTAGCTATCCTGGTGGTGGGTATTGTATTTTTCCGTGTTGTTTCTAACGTGTGGAATGGCGTATTTAAGAAGTGTGACTTTTTCTGCATTTACTCATGGCCACATCAATGCAAAAACTTCATGTTTTAAACACAGGATACCAGGCCTTAGTGGTTGTCTTTGTCTGACCTGTGAATATATTGCATGTTGATCCAGAACATTAGCACTTGTGTAAGTTCCGGATTTAGTGTGGCTCTCTTCGATAAATAGGCCTCGATTTCAAATTTGTAAGGACAATTTAATAGCCAGAGTGTATACATGAAATAAACATGAAATAATTTGCTGCAGCATATGAGTGGTGCAACAGGAGGCTAGAAGATAAGTTCGATGAAGTGCCCTTCCATCAGGCTGCTTATGCAGGCATTGGTGAGGATAGTTCGCTGCAGTGAAACAACCATTCGGCAGGCTTTTATGATATTATATATCACAGGGTGTCCCATATTTAGGCAGCGACCATTAAAGTGCAATCAAGAGCTGCGTATCTCAAGCACCAAGTATTGCTCTTGGACGTTTGAGACACAGTAACTAATGTGTAGTTGCTGGCGTTGTTGCTTCACCACAATTTCAGGTGTTAAAAGTGTCGAAGGAATATCATTACCGGAATTCACATTTCGTTTGAAGCACTTACCTCTGTCGTCCTATATATATTAAATGCGCCATTTTTCTTATCCACGGATAGATGCTCAGAATGCATTATTTTTGATATTCTAAACTGCTAGAAAAGCTAAACTTACAAGAAAAAGAAACTACTTGCCTATTAAAAAATCTAGGGCTGAAAAGAATAAATTACGTGATGCCATTGCAATAAAGGCCTACTTTATCAGGTCGCACTAGCAAGTGGCACGTCGGAAAATGTGTATGGGGGTATTTGTGTAAACTTTTAATCGATAACTTTGCCAGGCATTGTCCTTTTCACTAACAACTCTGACAGACACCTTCTTGGCAAGAAAAAAGGGACGCACTTTCTTTTCACGTTCCGCTTGCCGACACTAGCAACGAAGCGCAAGGCCACAGGGCTTCTCTTATTTTTCACAGACTTCCCATTCCTAAAGCAGTCAAGAAGTAACTGCGTACATAAGACATGGCGAATTAAGCGTTGGAGAAGATTATCAGGTCTTAATATTATTGTTGTTGTTGATGAACAGCTTTTAAGTGAGCTTCAATAAAATGATATTCCTGTGTCTCACACGCGCTGATATAGCCCCTGAAATTGAGAGCCTTCAAACCTTTGAGGCGGGTACAGCAAGTTACACCTTCCAGCAAGCATTACATTACCGCACCTAAAGTGTCTGTCACGAAAGCACATATTCAGATTAGACTAAGCCCAGATAACACTATAGTGTTGTTGAACCGCATGAACGAGTTGGGGACCAACTCACTGATGCTCAACTGTCTACAAGTGACTCACCTGGAGACGCTTCGTACTGCGGCTGGTAGCTGATCCGCACCCGCGCGGCTTGTACTGGGCAGTGAATCCCAGCTGCCGCCTCTGCTGGACATGCGGCGTGAGGCGCCAGTGGGCCTGTTGTCGCGCAGACCTATATTCAAAAATACGCTAGCGTTGGTACCTGTACGCCAATATTCAGTGATACTTCTTCACACTAGAACATGGATCTCAAAGAAGGGGGCATAATAATAATACTATTTTTGGAATATGATGCCCCAAGGTTCCCTTGTGATAGTGAGACACACCGTAAAGGAGAGTTCTGCAAATTTAAACAACCTGGATTTCTTGTACCTACCCTATATTTCAGTACATGGGCCTCAAATGTTGAGGCTCCGGCAGAAAACTGAACGAAGTACGGCAAAGGAAGAAGCGTTAGCAGGGTTTGCTCTGCAAACAGCAGTGTTTGCCAGCTGTGTTGTTTCTTTCATTGATCCGAATTAAACACGTTTATTCGAGTATTCAACTGATATTATTTCCTGAGCCTAGTGATTACGAGGCTCCCGCAGGTCGTGGGATTGAATCCCGGCCACGACTCTCACAGTTTCGATGAAGACCACAATGCTTGAGGCCCAGGTGAGTGAAATTTCCGGAGTCTTCTAGAACGCCATCTTCAATAACAATATCGTTGTTTAGACCCGAATAACCCGACAAGTTATCATATTGGTTGAGGCACATCACCGTGTTGGATCTCGTGGTGTTACCCAAGATCGACGTAACCAAAGGGGTGTACAGGCACCCACTAGGTGCCAGTGAAGAACTCTTGCAAGGCTTATTCCTCACATAAGGAATACACGTTATAATTACATATTACAGTAGTTTATGAACGAAGCGTACAGACCCGCATGTACATCAAAGAGAAGCACGAACAGCGAAGGCCAGAGAGGGCGCACAGTTTCAGGACGAAGCTGCAGCTCTCTGGCTTTCGCTGGCCCTCTCATCTCATCAAACGGCGCGTCTGTTCGCCAAGTTTGGTAACTGCCTGCAAATACGTAAATAAAATGTGTGTTCTAAGCAAGAGTTCTCCTTTCCGGGTGCCGGTGTGGCAGCCTGTGCCCGCTCTTTGGTCGCATTAACCGGTGACAGCGATGGGATCTGGTTCGTGTTCTTTCCTGGTACAATGCTGGTGAGTGCTCACTTTACGTTAAGATTCTGCCAAGTGTTTTCAATTGGTGGTAACGTTTGCTTGAAGGGGTAGATTGGTTGCTACTTCACGGCAGCTTGAGCAATAGAAGTCTGCATGGGTTGACCATGGAGTTTAATAAATTGAGAAAACCAGATTTAGTGCTTTTCTGGGAGAAGCTGAGGGTTGGGGTGGTGACGACACTCCGGAAGCCACGTTTGATACAGGTGATTAAGGATTCTGGCGCACATGAAGGGGAGATTTTCTCGTGTTGGAAAACTCGTAGAGGAGAGGATAAAGACGGCATGTGAAGACGACAAACGAGAGCGACTACCATTGAAAAGAGAGTCCTCTAGGCATACTGAAGAAGCTGCAGGAAGAGGAGCACTATATACTATCTTTACTGCCCTTCTCGTGCCTCATGTAAGGCACGATGTCTGTACGCCTAGTTTGTTGAAAGTCTTGTAAATATGCAGCTAAAACATATGTTCTTGTAAAACACCTCCTAACAGTTTTGCTTCCTCGGCGCCTGGGTGACAGCCCGTACCTCCTCCTCGGTTACGTGAGGACGCAAGAAACAATGAACGCTCCGCGAAGACTACGCAGTACAGAGCTGTATTCGCAGTTTTTCCTTAGTGCCTACATCTCCTTAGAGCATCGGAATAATGTGACCACCTTGCATGATAAAAGAATATACCGCAGTGCGACTGACATTTCGAATCTATGTTTACGCTCTAAACCTCGATGCGATGATAAGGCACACAACAGGGGAGAGGGCTCATTGAATTTTCACCATCAGCAGTTCTCCCGCGTGCATAGAAATCGCTAGGTATACGGAATTCCAGCCTATCGCCTGCGTCTAAGTGTGACTACTACAAGTGGTATCGAGCTAGCTATACTATCTTTTGGAAAACAACTTTGTTAAGTAGATGTGCTCTTTGCACTCATTTGAATAGGACAGCCTTCCTCAAGTTGACCTTTTTCATCTTTCATAGATCCTGGTGGATCGTTGTGTTTCAAACCTGAGTTTCGAAAAATAGCACTTCTCTTTTTACCTTCGTATTCAAACACACTGCAAAAGAAAGAAGTTGCTGCAATAAGGAAGAGAAGGCTACTCGTCGAAACGTAATCTTCCGCGAGATTTCCTGTCAAAGGGCCTCTTCATCGCTCAGAGGTTCTGTCCGTTGAAACGGTTCATATTCTCTCCCGATACTTCCATGCGTCCCCGTAAGGTTTTTTACGGAAATATAAGGCAGTATGCGGCAAATAGTCCGCCTCGATGAATAAGTGGCTAGGGTGCTTGGCTGCTAGCTGACCCGAAAGTCGTGGGTTTGATCCCGGCCGAGATGGTCGCAATTCGATGGAGGCGGAATGGTAGGGGCCCTTGTGCTGTGCGATGTCATGCACGTTGAAGAACACCAGATGATTAAAATTTCCGGAGCCCTCTACCAAGTGTCCCTCATTAATTTGGTAGCTCTAAAACGTAAAACTCTGCATAATATGATTACAGATTGAATATAAAAATATGGAATCAACGTGAGGAAACAAGCGGAATTGGTGTACGCAACGCTTTAGTATAGATATATTACCACACGTGTTTCCTTCCTTTTAATATTAACACGAAAGCAGCATGCCAGGGTCCACCGTGGCTCCACTGACGTACTTCCGTCACGGATATTACGTTGTAAAATACATACTGACAATTGCAAGAAAGGGGAACAAAAAGTTACGTCACCGGGGTGTCGAACCTACGATCCATCGCTCCGCAGCGCACGGTGCAAACCACTAGGCCACCGACAGTACGTTGATTGATTGATTTATTGATTAATTGATATGTGGAGTTTAACATCCCGAAACCACCACGATTATGAGAGACGCCGTAGTGGATGGCTCCAAAAATTTCGACCACCTGGGGTGCCTTAACGTGCACCCAAATCGGTGCACACGGGGCCTACAGCATTTTCGCCTCCATCGTAAAGGCAGACGCCGCAGCCGGGATTCGATCCCGCAACTTGCGGGTCAGCAGCCGAAAGCCTTAGTCACTAGTCCACCGTGGAGGGACAGACCATACATTGTTCAACTTGTTGATGCGAACTGTTTATATACACTATACATCGTGAACGGCCCTCAGTGTCCGGCAACTTCGGCGTATTTTCATCATCAGTAGCGGAAGGGCGCGAAGGACACGCGTTGTGCAAGCTCTAACGTTCGTCGCCCCGCGCGTTGCTATACACGCACGCTTCCACGGGGTGTGGTCACTCATAAGCGTGTGCGCTCATCTCGTTATTCGGGCTTTCTTTGAAGTTACGGTGGTTGAAGAGCGTAACGGAGGTCACTTCGCTTGCTGCCGCGGCCGCGTTTAAGAAAGGAGCTTGCTGCTCACACAATAATAAATAAGAATTGTGACAACTGTTTGCGCTTGTTCTGTGTATACCTGTGCGTCGCGAACATGGAGTGCTTATGTATCTTACACTGCTCCTAACGATAACGCTGTAATCCTAAATAGCACGTGTGTAATTGCCGACGCTCTTCACCGCTTCACAGCTCACCCTTGGCTGACGTTCTGTTCACCGCTACAAATATGCGGCGTGTGTTGCTGTAGTATGTTTTGATTTACCGGGGTCAGCTTCGCTCGATTGATTGATGGACATGTGGGGCTTAATGTTCTAAAATCACCATATGATTATGAGATACGCTGTATTGGAGGGCTCCAGAGCTTTCGACCCACAGGGTTTCATTAACATGCACCCAAATCCGAGCACACGGGCATACAGTATTCTCGCCTTCATTTAAAATGCAGCAGCCGCAGGCGGGATTCGACCCCGTGACCTGCGGGTCAAAAGCCAAGTGCCTTAGCCACTAGGCCGCCGCGGCTGGGCGAGCTTCACTCGAATCAAAGGTTTCGACTTCAACACGCCGATTGCTGCCTTCGTCGACGTCATGACGACCAGACAATATTCAGTCTTGAACTTCTGTCCGCATTCGTGGCTCCGGTAGACAACATGACCTACCGGTAGACAACATGAACTGATAGATTTATGCGCACGTCGTGATAGTCGCAGGCCTTCTATCACTTCGGTGGTCTTCTCACAGCCATCTTTGCCTTTTCCTAATCTCTGGGGTCTTCGGGTCAGCGCCATCGCTTCGTAACCATTTGTTGTTGGCCAAGCGGTCGCATTCATTTTTAGTAAACCAGTGGTGAGTGGCTGCACATACCCCATTGATGCGGCACATACCACATTATTTAAAGTCAAGTTTCTTGGCTCTCTGACGAAGCCACAATTTGCCAAACAGTTTCGCTATTAACAGAGTTGAAAGAGGTGCAGCGCTTCAAAAAGCTGCTCAGAAGCGCTAATATCTCCGTAGTGGTGGTTAGCAATAATCAATGCGAAGCATTTCTTTGCGAACCGCAAGTAATTTTGACATCAATCTATCTATCTATCTATCTATCTATCTATCTATCTATCTATCTATCTATCTATCTATCTATCTATCTTCTATCTATCTATCTATCTTCTATCTATCTATCTATCTATCTATCTATCTATCTATCTATCTATCTATCTATCTATCTATCTATCTATCTATCTATCTATCTATCTATCTATCTATCTATCTATCTATCTATCTATCTATCTATCTATCTATGCGCCTATCTGGGTGCTCTCGCAATCACCCCCTTATCATAGCGTGAACCGAAATTAGTAACGGAGGGTAACATGCCGTAATACGGAAAGACTTGCTAGTTGGTTTTGCTGCATGCTGAAGTATTAGCGTGCACACACGTGGACACAGACGAAAGGAACACTGCGCTGGTCCCTTTGTCGCCTTCGCCTGTGTCCTCGTGTGTGTGTGCGCTAAAGCATCAGTATAAGCGTAAGATGGTTCGACAAATATGACGCGCTGGCCAAGACATCAATAATACCGCAATCTCGTCGCGTAGGTTGTCGAACACTACGCGCTAGACAGTGCCACGTGCCACTGGTATGCGGGTATGTGCCACAGGTGATTGACAATTAGTGGCCACCCAGAAACGGCGAGAACGCACATGGGTGATTTTAACTTGTGAGCGTTAAGAAAAAAGCTGACATCGGCAGCCTTGACCCAACGAACGCAAAAATCGTTAGGGTCTCAGCAGGAATCAAACCCCAGCATGCTGCTTGGCAATCAAGTACTCGCCAAATAGCCACGCCAGTTCTCGTAATCGCTTTTCAATTAGATCCTGATGTTCGTGAAACGCTCATTGGGGTTGCAGTGCTGGCTATGCAATTTTATAAACATTACATGTTTATTCCTATGATACTTCGACTAAACGTCCTATGATACGCCGACTATGTCACGTCGACTATATGTCAACTGCAGTTAGGTGCCACCCGGTGAAGTCGACTTATGTAGCAGTGTCCAGGGCTACCAACATCGCGAGCACCAGCGCTTGATATCAGCTTATCGCTATGGTGTTGCTAATACTGATCTTCCTGTTGTCACCGTTGCGCAAGTTCAAACAACTGGTTATATAAACATCGGCAGCGGTTCATCATATGTCTGCACATGAAACAGTTATATACATATTTAGCACCATTTCATGTCAAGCCGCTCAATGAAAAAATTACAACACAAAAAATGGAGTGAGAGGAGAAAAAAATAAATACAAAAAAATATTTGATTAGAGTAAGCAATGAACGCTGGCTGCCTGCGCGGCAAGTAGATGTTTTATTAAAAACCCACACTATTGGGCAATATCGCTTCAAAAAAAAAACACTATAAATGACATTCAGTGGGAGGATACCTTTTTAAGACCGGTAATATTGCGTGGCAGAAACGAGGCACCGAAAATGAGAATAGCTGAACTTGCGTTTTAAAATGCCCCTGATATAAACATACTTATTGATTGTCAGCAAAACCAAACAATGATCACCAGCAAGACTATCTGCGTAGGTTTGCCTGTTCTAAATGCGAAGCATTTCTTAGCGAACTTCGTCGACTTTGAGCGTATCTATCTATCTATCTAGCCTCTCACGTTTGGGTGCTCTCGTGGCCATCCCCTTAACTTTGCGTGAACCAAAATTAGCATGGGAGGGTAACATGGTTTGACGAATATGACGCACTGGTCAATACATGAATAATGTCACAATCTCGCCGCGTACGTCGTCAAACACATCCCACCAGACAGTGGCACACACCCACGAGGTGGTATGTGCCGCTGATAAGCGGCTATGAGCCACAGGTGATTGACATTTAGTATCTACCGATGATTGACAAGGACACACATGGGCAATTTTTATCCGTGAGTGCTAAGCAATACCCAACAATAATAGCGTCGACCCAACGAAGGCATATAATGAATGTCAGTGTTACACAAAAGCTGACCTAGGCAGCGTTGGCCACACGACGAATGCAAACAATAAATTTCAGGGTCCCAGCAGGAATGGAACCAAAGCAATCTGCGTGGCAGTCAAGCATTCTACCACAGAGCTACGCCAGGTCTCGGGACTACTTATCAAATAGACGCTAATGTTCGTGAAACGTCTATAGTCGATGCAGTGTTGCCTACCTAATTTAATGAATATTACATAAGTACTCCTTTGATGCAGCTGTCACGTCGGGTTAACGTCAATTGTGGTTAGTTGTCATGCGCTGAAGTCAATTTATGTAGCAGTGTCCAGGACCAGCATCCTCGCGAGCATCAGCGCTTCATATCAGCTTCTGGTGTTGCTAATACGCATGTTGCCAGTTGACATCATTGCGCAAGTGCAAACAGCCGGTTATATAAACATCTGCAACTCTTCAAAATAAGTCTGTACGTGCCACATTTGTACATATATTTAGCGTCATTTCATGACGTGTTGCTTAATAAAAAATGCAACATGGTCACCCGCGTGCTTCGCATAAAGTTGATTTCCAGGTACGTGGATCTGCCGAAATCTGCCGAATTTTTCTTCACAAATGCGTAGTGGGTCCTTCGATTATGCACAAAGAAGCCATTGCGCAACCACCCTCGCAATAGGCATTCTCGGATAGGTTGAAACGACCTATGTTACGCGTACACACGTTCAGTTCCTCATGGTGTGGCTGAGGCCTACACCAAGAACCAAAGGCCGGCAAGCACTTTAAAATGCGACGCCCAAGTGGTCAAATCGCGCTCTCGCGTTTTGGGTTTGAAGGCAAATCTCAAGAGTCCTCCTAGTTTTTTGTTTTTGTTTTTTGCTACACTCGGCGACAACTTATCTTCACACTGGGGCGACGTCTGCGGAGCTTCCATACATTCGTGTTGCTCCGCAAAGTAGTTCGGCACCTTGCGGCCTGTTTCGGTTTCGCTCGCATCGTTGAAGAGTTCAAAAAACTATATACAAGAAAATATGAATGAAAGGAACACTTCAATGGTTCAGTGTACATTTTAGTACCACATCACGAGTGATTTTTTTTTCCCTCAGAGATATAAACAGCGTGTTCGCGGCCGCACTATGACCCACTACGTCACGGACGCCATTTTTACTTTGGAAAACTGGCAGGCTGGAAGGGTGCTGCCGTCTAAGAAACGGAAATCATTTCTGGCAAAGCCAACAGTTACTGTATTTCAGCTTCGACTTCTATCAAGTGTTCGATTATCGTAATAAATAAAGCATCAGTTACATCAGCAATAAAAAAAGTAGAATATTACTGCTAAACGTGAGTACTATTTTTTTGGTGTCGTGGATGGCTTGCGCTTCGGTTCTCTAGCTTCCACAGTGCTGTCAAGAAACGTTGTCATTAAGTATAGCTTGCTTAACAGCATAGGTGTCTTGACGGGATGCTTTCATGATTCGGTGCCAATCATTTGTGAGGTAATCTTTTGCAGTGCAGAATCCACGCTCAATACCATCTTGCTTTATTGTATCAACTGCGCCTTTGTCACCCACCTCCCACCCCACTTTCTCAGAAAAACATTCTGGATATGCTCCCAAAGGAAAGATATTTTTAGGATTCAGCTACTTCCGCTGCCAGGAATGCTCTAAATTTCACAATTGATTGATTTGTGGGGTTTAACGTCACAAAACCACCATATGATTATGAGAGACGCCGTAGTGGAGGGCTCCAGAAATTTCGACTACCTGGGGTTCTTTAACGTGCACCCAAATCTGAGTACACGGGCCTACAACATTTCCGCCTCCATCGGAAATGCAGCCGCCACAGCCGGGATGTGATCCCGCGACCTGCGGGTCAGCAGCCGAGTGCCTTAGCCACTAGACCACTGTGGCGGGGTCTAAATTTGACGAAAGCATTCGCATACATACCGGAAGAGAAAGGTGTGTTCTGGCCAGAGTCATGTTCAACGCTCGGCAAGTCAGATGATGACGAAGACCTGCAGACAGACAATCGCATTGATCTCGGACTATGTACTTCCAGCCACATTTTACCGACATTGTCCTCTTTTGCATGCTGCTTTTCAATTTCTGTTTAGCACACTTCTTGTCATAGAGCCATGGTGTGCATCGCAGTAATAGGTATCAGGTTATACATAGGATATTTCACGTAACAAGGTCAAAATGTTTATTATAAGCGTTTACCCGCAGGTAAACAAGACAAACGACCCATGACTTGCCGTAATATGACGCTCGTTTCAGTTTTCTTATATTGCGCTGAATGACTTAACTAAGACCAATTACGGCAAGCTTTAATTGGGGACATTAGGACGAATTGTTTTAGTTATATTGTAAAGGGCTCTCCAAAACGGCCCGTGAAATCAAACGGCCCATCAAAATGGTCCATTAATACCGATCTGCGTGGAATTTTTTTCCGGCCTTTAAAGAAATCCCGGGAAATAGCTTTTCTTTTATATCAGTGAAATTGCTCAAGCACTGCCATACTGAAGCGCTGTCCATAACACTTTCGGGTAACAACCTTGCGCACAGATTGTCAACAGGTCTGCCGTTGGGTGTACTTAAAAAGGAGTCAGAATTCAAGCTTAAATTAGCCATGCCATTTAGTTTTATCGCCAAGCTTACCACGAAATAGAAAAGCGGCATTGAAATATTAAAAAAAGAAGTGGCTCTGCACTGGTAAGGCGTACCCGAAAGCCCAGCCCACCCCGGCCGTTTTTATGGTGGTCCCGGGCCAAAGTCCGGCCTGGAGCTCCGGGCTTAGGGTCAGTCCCTGATGTGAGGCGACGGGCTCGGGTCGGTTCGTGCTTGGACTGTTGGTTCCTAATCCCACGTTACTTTCTTTAAATTGTCCCATCTATGTTGTGCATACATACTTGCTCCTCAGAAAGTGTCTCTAAAAACGTTTTTTTTTTATGTGGGACAAGGTATGTGGTGAAAATATATGAATAACAAGTGCTAAACTTTTCTTTCTTGCATATGGGACTGCTTGATGGACTTAGCATCGGTATGGTTAACATCTCGTTATTCTTTCTTGTATTAATTGCGTTTGACATTATTTTATATCCGGAAAGTTATTATGTAATCACAGTAGTAAATCTATATAATTATGTAAACATTTGTGTTACGTAAATTTTTATACTAAATTTATATTTGTAACTCGTTTTCGAAAAATTGGTCATAGAGCTCCAGAATGAGGCAACTTTCTTGAAAGTTCTACCGGCAGCTAAAACTAAAGGTGTGCGCACAGTCTCGTTTCATCGAATCATTATAACCCCCCGCCCCCCCTTTTTTTTCGTGGCTTTTCACGAACCGTACCTTCATTTTTCAGTCTTCAGTAGCGTAACTTTTACGTCACGGAGCTTTCGCAACTCCAGATGCCTATGAAATTAACGGAATTCGCTTCAGCGGCACGAACACAGCCTCCAGAGATCCGCGATCGGGCGCGCGAACTTGGGAGGTGATACATGAACACTGAACTCACACTGTCTCACCGCGTCAGGCCTTGAAATAGTTTGAACGCGACTGCCCGCCTAACATACCTTAGAAGGCCGGTACGCATTGCCGCGATGTACAGGTGTTCTAAATGTGAAATGGTGAGCGTGAGCTGTGGCCAACTTACTCAAAAGTGAACGCCAGCGCGCTCCACGAAGGAAGCGATTCTGTATTTACATACAGAAATGATGATCATATGTTCTGGCACATTTTCGTATAAAAATAAATAACCTCTTCTCTGATCAAGCGCGCTGGCATTCACTTTTGCGTAGCTTGGCTACAGCTTGCGTGCTCCGTTTTACTTTTGGAACACCTGTAGGTACACTGTCGTCTTTTATGTAGGAAACACACGAGCGCGTGGCCTGCGCTCGGCGACAGCTGCCTACACAGCCAACACCAACCAATAGCGAAAAAAAAGGCGTTAGGTTTGGTGTCATTCATTGGCAAACAAAACAACGAGTTATGGCCGCTGGACAAGCGCTGCAAGAGACAGTAGACAGCCGTTGTAGAGAGCAGGTCACGTGATCGCGTGTTTCCTTTAATAAAGAGCGATGGTGTACCTTGTCAAGCACATAGCGCCAAAACATACTTCTCAAGTTTGTTTTGTTCAGCCTTACATTTTATCCCCTTTCATTGTTCCTACGCTAGAAGGTTTATGCGAGGTCCGTGCGTCGATGTGGTCAAGATTACTATGACGTCGTGCCTCGCCGCTTTCCCGTGTGAATGAATGCGCTCCGTCAAAAACTATTGCCGATGTGTTCATCAGATGAACACATTGAAAATAACTCCCAGGCGCGCTGAGTGATAACGAGAAAAAACTACTCACGCTGGGCAAGCGCGCAGACGTAACGTAAAACAGCGGTGCACAGCGACATGCTATATACGGAACAGAGAAAGCGATACTCGTTGCCTAGACGACGAGCGCCGGGCTGAGCGTTCCAAAGCGTCTCGGATTATTAGAGACCCCGTACACGAACGGAACGGATAATCTCGAACCCCTGGAATTCTTTCACGTGCGCCGACATGACGTAAAACGCGAGCCTCAAGCATTTCAGCTCCATCGGAATACGCCTGCCATGGCCTTAGTAATATTCGTAACACTTGCAGAAGCTGGCTTCAATTGTGCAGTTGAACGGGGCTTCAGGAGATACAAACACTGCCAGTAGGGAATAGTATAATGTCAAAAGAATGCTACTTTCCTTATGTCTTTCTCGTTAGGGTTTCGTAAAATTCCATAGCTACAATAACAAGGTCTAGGTGCTTTGGTTCTAGCACTGCCAATCTTATGAATTCCACTCTAGGTGCCCGGTAAAAAGCCCACAAAAAACCTTTATGCAGAGCAGCAATACGGCTCCCAAGGTATACATGGGTTACTGCGCGACAAAATCATAACTTGCGTTCGCTGCAGCATTCGCAGAGACCCTCGTGCGCCACCAAATACGAGGAAAATTTCTAAATTCGCAAAAGCTCACCCCGAGAGGTACAACGAAATGGATGTATCGGTGTCAGAACCTGCGACGCTCCTGCTCGATGGCGCATCACTGCTTTCAGATACAGGAGCCGCATTTCCATCGCCTCTTCCTTCGGCCATGTCTGAAGCGGCGACTACGCACCACCGACAGTAACTACTTGGCAGGCAAAGCCGAATCACAACAAATGCGAATTCTACGCGACTAAAAAAAGGCAAAGAGTAAAATCTGTCGTAAGATGCACAAGCCTCTAATGGGATAGGAAATCAAAGTTCTTTAGTAAGATAGTGCATAATCTGCTTCGACATTGTCCGTGGCGGTGCTCGATATTCGGGGTCACGTGCTTTAACGTCAAACGAAGTGCATGAAAACGCGTCTTTTGACTTTTACTAGTTGGAGTACGGAGACGCGGCGATTCGGGTGTTTTTATGCGGTCGACAGATGGCAGGAATATTCGCACAGCGTGAACAAGGATAGCTATATTATGCTCCTCTTCTTTTTTTTTTTGGGGGGGGGGGGAGATTTTATGCTTCGAATGATCCGTCATCTAACGTAATGCCACGCGCGTTGACCAATGCACGATGCAGGTCACGCCTCAGTGTTTGAAAGGCTTCACGTTTGTAGTAAATAGTTTTGTTAAGATCGAGCACAAGACGTGAACACTCAAGATTATTGCAGAGCTTGCGCGACCAGAGGCTGGAAAGTTCGACGCGTAATGTATATAAGACCGTGCTTCCCGAGGATGATCAGATTATCGGCGGCTGATGCTCTGTTCACCACCGTCATTGTAATACAGTCGAGTGCATAATTTTAGAGACCACGGGAGCACGTGCCGAGGCGCGTCGCTGCGCCTTCTGGCGGCTGCACGGCTCTGTCCGGGAGCGCGTACTGCGCATGCTCGTCCCATATCACCCGGCAGCCTTCCCTTTCGCTCGTTTCAACAGCGCGCATCTCGAAACTATGCGGACGGCGCAAGGTGCCACTTCTGCACTAGCTGTGCAAGCACCGGTACTCCAGAGCGATAATATAGCGGTGAAAATGCCTCTAATGTAATAGCATGGCTCGAGCGCGCCACGCAATACGCTTTCTTCCTTGATGCAGCGCGGAAAACATGCAGTTTCTCAGTTTTCCTCAAACGGAGTTGCGTGATATGCTCATCTTGCAGTGATGAATTTTGTGCTCTGTCTCGGAGACGTTATGCCAGCTCCATTTCTTGGTGCGAATATCACGCGTGCAGTGGTATGCAGTAAACCACCGAATATCGCGCATCCAGAATGAATGAATGAATGGCCAGGAAACGCGATAAATAAACAGATTATTCTTATAAGCCAGAAAAAAAAAACGATAGCTATAACTACTATCCAGGAAAGATCACTACTTTCACTATTTAATCAAACGCCCATCGGCTGCAATCACTTGCGCCACACGAGATGGCATCGAATTGTAAAGCCGAAACCCGCAAATGATGTGCTGTCGTCACATTAGCGCTCAACTTTTTTCATTGTCTTCACAGCGACTACAAGAGTGACACCTTGCACCGTCCGAATTTTTTCGGGACGCACGCCATTGAAACGAGCGAAAGGGCAGGCTGCCGGGTGATATGGGACGAGCGTGCGCAGTACGCACTCCCGGCAGAGCTGTGCTGCCACCAGAAGGCGCAGCGACGTGCCTCGGCACGCGCTCCCGTGGTCTCTAAAATTATGCACTCGAGTGTACATACAGCGTGTTCTTCTGTAGCCTTACGGGACGCTTTTGTACAGGCTGTGGATGGGCGTTGCTTTCAACAATGCCTACGCTTTTTTTTCTCAATGGGATGACTGATACCGCCGCCTGAGACCGCTGTGGCAATGAAGAGTCTATTGGAGACATATTTTGAGCTACCGACAATATAGCGCACAACGAATATATCTTTGAAACGCGCTCAACAAATTAGATAATAAACCTCTGTCGGAAAAAGTTTACACCATCATCAGGATGCAACATCATAGAAGGCAGTCTTGCAAGCGCTAGTGCACTTTTAGATGCGAAACATCTCTTGCTCGGGTCTGTCCTGCGGCGTCGGCGGCCACACTCGCACTACACATGCGCGATTCTCGTCTTTTCTCCTCTCCAACAGCTGAGCGTTACTCTCTCGCCTCGCAATGCTTACGCAGGGAGCGTCTACTAACCTACGCTTGCTCCCCCCTCGCTCTCCTCTAGGCATTCTTCACTGCGGCGCATCCGTGTTCTCTCCCCCGGTCTCTCCTTTCCCACGCTCCCCTTTCTCGCAACGCCAACGCAGGCACCTTCTGTGGTTTGAAATGGTGTTTAATGATTTAGAGTACTTGGTACTCTACTGTGGGAAAGCAGAAGGCCGTTCCCGTCACAGGAATTGCAGTGGTCGTAACAGCACCGCTGTCGACTACCAATATTCTTGATTGAACAAACCAACTGCTCGCGCTGCAAAACCGTTGACTGGCCACTTTGTAGGCACTCGATGTTGAACTTAAGGTAGTGCCGATGGAAGATTTCTCCCGTGTGTTGTTGAACAATGATAATTCGCAGCGTGCGCGTTAACTAAAAGTGGACTGCGGGTCTCCGAGTCCAATCGGAGTCCCCTGTCTGTGATTGCCCATTAGCAGCGATTGGAATGTTCCAGTAGGAAACAACGGTCCATCATTGCGCGCTTTGCGCCTCCGCAGGTTTTCCTCCTGCGCAACCCTGCGATAAGCGTCAGCGTCAACGTCGCTGACAGTGCAAATGTTAGCACCCGCTGCTTCGCTCCTACACAAGGTCCCGGCCCTTTATCGTAACTATTTTGCGATCTACCGGTCTTTCTGAACGATTTTAGTCCCAATGCTGTTCGCGTGCGCGTGCATGCATGTGTGTGTGCGTGCGTCCGTGTGTGTGTGTGTGTGTATGTGTGTGTGTGTTGTGCGTGCGTGTGTGTGTGCGTGTGTGCGTGCGTGTGTTTGTGTGTGTTTGTGTGTGTGTGTGTGTGTGTGTGTGCGTGCGTGCGTGTGTGTGCGTGTGCGTGCGTGCGTGTGCGTGTGTGCGTGCGTGTGTGTGTGTTGTGTGTGTGTGTGTGTGTTTCTCCTTTTTCTTTCTTTCTGTCCCTATATTTTCTTTCTCGCTCCTGTCTCCCCCCCCCCCCTCCAGTGCTCGGTAGCAAACCGGCGGATGCTCATATCTGGTTGACCTCCCGGCCTTCCTCTTCACCTCTCTCTCTTCATCTTGGACACGCCACCTGCTACTGCTTTGATCCCCTTCACGACCACGTGCCAGTATTATTCAATAAACGTTTTCACTCAGCAAGCAAAAAACATCAATTCATTTCTAAACAGATGGATATTGCTACATTTATAGCTCGTTGTCACACTGTTCATTCATCTTGCTCATAGTCACGCGAAGTGACTAGTGACTATGCGCAAAAGTTTTTCCCGGTGGTTTGCCAGAGGGTATAAATCATAATTATTAATGAAACCCCACATTTGGCTTCTTCAGTACGTAGAATTGATTCTCCCGAAATCGTTTTGTTTTTCAAGTGACCTTCTTGAAATGAGTACACGAAGAAGTAATTGGTTTTGATGAGTGAATGCTACTTCTGAATGCGCATGCATATTGTATAAATGTTTACCCAAGGCATCCATGCTTACACCTACGAGCAATAATGACGAGTTGAGCTGCAGTTTTCTTTTCAGTAATGTATAACGTGTTAGAGAGTTTGCTTGTTATTATGCCTTGACTTTTCCTATGTGTGATTTTTGAAGGGACAAGAAGAGAAAAGTGAGTCCCGTAACTGTCTGCATCATAGTGCGACACCTCAACAGTAGCTCACAAGGGATGGGAGTCAGGAGGGATTAAAAGGTATATATAGAGAGAGGAAGGAGAGAGCGAGGCGCAGGGACCGCAAGCGATGGAAGTAAAGAGTAGATAGATAGATATGTAGGGTTCAACGTCCCAAAACCACCATATGATTAGAGAGACGCCGTTGTGGAGGGCCCCGGAAATTTCAACCACCTGGGGTTCTTTAACGTGCACCCAAATCTGGGCACACGGGCCTACAACAATTCCGCCTCCATCGGAAATGCAGCCTCCGCAGCCGGGATTCCAACACGTGACGTGCGGGTCAGCAGCCGAGTACCTTAGCCACTAAACCACCGCGGCGGGGCTGGAATACATAAGTAGCGTCTACTTGTACGTGCGTTAACAAGAGGGATTAAGACATTTGTGAATATCTGCTTATAAATGCTATTCAATATGTGTTTGTCGGCCATGCGGCTGTATTTTGAAAGAGGTGAATTGCTATTTGGTTATATGTATTGTACCAAGTCAAGTTCGCGTAGTCATGGCGCGATGGACTCGCTCTCTGGCACGAAGAGGTACCCCAAACGACCGACCCCATCCGCAGCGACCGCCAATATTGCTCAAAGTTCAGCGTTCATACTTGTACGATCGTCAATTAAAAAGCAATTATTGGGCGTATCTTAGTCACCATAACAACACGTCAATATTCTGTATGTGTGTCTCTTTACTAGAAAAGGCATACATAACTAATTCTAAAGACCATAGCGTTTATCACACTGCGCTGACAATGTAACGCTTGCACGAAAAGGCAAGTGTTTCCAACGCTTTGCTAAGACGACACGGTTGTGGCACCTACCCGTCGCCTTGCGTTCTACACCTTATCGCCTCCGAGACAGGCGCGCACGCCGCCGTGCTTCGTTTTCCAAGATGTCAGATAGCGCTCATTGCTTACGTGTGACGTGCCTCGATTCACTCGTTCGCCTCCGATGTACGTTCGAGGCACCATAACACAGCGCCTCCAGAATACCATTCACCAATTTTCTTGCGCAGAACATCAAATAAACGTTTTGTTCACTCTCTCCAGATGCAAGACTATCGTCCTTCGACGACATTTGCAGTGTAACGTGCAGATACGGGGCCAATTTTTTTCGTTACGTTTACGTCAAGGAGGAGGAGGAGGAGGAAGAAGAAGAAGGGAAGAAATGAAAGGCAGGGAGGTCAGCCAGACGAACGTCCGGTTTGCTACCCTGCACTGGGGGAAGGGGTGAGGGGATTAAAGGAGAAGAGAGAGAGAAGTGAAGGGCAACGTGTGTGTAGATGTGACTTTGTCCATTGCACGCTTATAAGCGGTCGCGTAGTCCGGTCGTCTTTAGAAAACTTAGCAATGCCCGCGTCGCTTTGCTGGCCAGCGACGCGTAGAGCCATGAGCCAAGGATCTTCTCTTCGGAAAAGGTCTACTGTCTAGTGTCTCTAACGTTTCGCGTAGCAAGTTGCGTTTGCTCG